ATTGCAGTCTCCCAAAATGCCAACTGAGTCAGTGTCGCCACGAAACTCCACAATTAACAAGGGAAATTAGCCAAGCCTTCCAGAATTGCCCAAATAGATTGATGTGGACACTATATCACTCCCCACCCCCACAAAGGCGAATCTTATTTGTTCCTGTGACAGAAATGAAGGCCCTGCACCCAGAACAGTGGGCTATTCCATTCCATCCTCCTATCTACCTACAAGGTCAGCATCTAAATATGCCATTTCAAAGAGAAGAAATTGAGACTGGGTGTGTGTTCACACCTTGTAACCCTCGCACTCAGATCCACAGCAAGTTTGAGGCCAGCTTGGGCAACATGAGGTACATGAAAAGCTGTCTCTCTCTCTCTCTCTCTCTCTCTCTCTCTCTCTCTCTTTCTCTCTCTCTCTCTTTGGCACACACACACACACACACACACACACACACACACACACACACATGAAAGGAGGAAATGCGTGGGAGACAATTGTTTTACTAAAATTTAGATAATTTCCTCAAGCTGAATTCCCAAATTTAAGCAATTTTACCTGGCTAGGCACTGTTAGTTAGATGCTCTTTTATTAGCAATAATTTAAGTTCAGTTTTAAATTCATAAGGAAAATGCCATAGAAGAGTTGCTTATTACACTGACTCCAGATATACTGATATTTACCAACATGTGTGTTTGATTTTGAAGATAGGGCATCGCTCTGTAGCCTTCCTAACTGTCCTCTTACTCATGTGGCCAGGGTGCCCCAACTCGTTGCAATCATCCTGTCTTTGCTTCCATAATGCTGAGATCATAGATGTGTGCTTCTATGATCTGGGTACAGGCATTTTAGGAAAAATATCATACTCGCTTTGCATCTGTTCTTGTGAACGTATTACAAGCTGTACTGGCCTAATCACTTAGCTGGTGAGGGACCAACACATGGGACTATTCAGTTCCCTCCTAAGGTAAGAGGCGGCCAAGCCCAACTTGGCACCTTTGTGAGCTGGTTGACAATCAGTGCTGCATTCTGTCCCATGCTGCTTTTCATCTGCAGACTGTTTCATGACTCTGTCGGGTATTGCGTATGATCAGGCCTGCCTGGAAACTACTATAAAACCGAGAGCACACATCCAAAATGCATGCTTGTCCATACAGATTAAACTGTTGATTATACTGGGATTCATGGGTGTATTAAGAGACAATAATTATGGCAAATCTCCCACAAGACATCCCTGTACAGCCTTCCATCTTTGTTCACACAGTCTGTGTTTACTGAGTTGCAGTAAAGGATGTGTGGACTGTTTTTGTTCGGTTCGGGCTGAAACAGCAGCCAAGCAGAAGGACCCATCCATGACCGGAATGCAATGGCCTTCATTATCTCCCAGCTCACTCCTAAATGACTCACAGAGTGCTGCCAGATGGTGTTTTCCCTCACCCCTTGCCTTGCACTTATTTAATTATTTTTAACATAGCATTTGTTCTGCTGTCTTGATACCTAACGGGCGGATATATTAAGAGTTGGTTTCTTCTGCTATTACTGACCAGTATGTCTAATAAGTTCTCAGCCTCTTAGTTCTCTGTCAAGTGAGGGTATAGCATAATGGTGACTAATATTTGTCACAATTTTGCATTACATACAAGTTCCATAAAATACTCCAGTGATAATGAGTCAATGACCTTGCATGCATTCTCCATTTAATCATTCAACAAGTCACAAATAAAGAGGTTGGTGACTGCAGAGATTAGGAAATCTACCCTGGGCTAACTAGCTTAGAGAGATTTGAAGGATAGAGACAGAGCCCCCAAGGGAAGCCACTACTGTTGATCATTACGCAGTGTTCATATGGTGAAAATTATAAGTTCAATAAGCAGCATTTACAAAGTACAAAGAAAGCCACAGAGTGAACGTCTAATCGTTTGAAAACAGATCAGGTAGATGAATAGACATTAGGAGTGGTAAGACATCCGGTAGCTATGGAGGCTCTGCCTCTCCCTCCATTAGCCACAGGAAGCTCAGATACTTCCTGAACCTCTGGTTCAACCACCTTGATCATGCCTCACCCTTCCTGGAGAAATCTGCATCCTATACCTGGGCTGTGTGTAGGTGTAAATGCCAGCCCCATGTAGCTCCATGGTCTGATGGACAATATTAATAAAAATATTTTATTGAATATTTGAGAATCTCTTGCACCCCTATCACACCCACTTCCCTCTCTTCCACCTGCCACTCACTTTGACCCCCGCAACACACACACACAGGGACACAGGTACATACACATGCAGACGGATGGGGGAAGACTTGGTCTTTGGGGGGTTGGCCACTGGGAATTTGACCGTGCTCCAGCTGTACCTGAATAATATCCTTACCGGGTGGGCCAAGGGCAGCTGAGCTGTAACCACACTTGAGGTCCTTTCAATGAGAAGAAACTCACTACTGATACCGTAGGAAGTTTTTTGAGTGTTGAGAATCCGCACACATAGATACACTCTTGGATAGTTTTTAGAGGTGATCCTGGGCTGCAGAGATGGCTCAGCTGTTCCAGGAGAAGGCTCCCAAGCAAGAAGGACTACAAGTGCTTCATTTCTTGTTGGTGGAAAACCCTTTACTCTGTATTAGGGTTTTAATCAATTTTAATAATAATATGAACTTGAGAAAGATAGAGGGAGGCATGTAGAAAGGAAGCAGAGGGGGAAGAAAAATGTGATATTTAAGTTTTTGTTTACATGGAACTGTGAAGACTTTGACAGTCTGTGAGTTGGTTACAGCAGCCATAGGCAACGTTAGAAAACGTGATCAAGAATCAGTGATGAGGGAGATGTAGAGAAGGCTCATCAGTTAAGAACACTTACTCTTCTTGTAGAAGATCCTGGTTTGGTTCCAGCACCCAAACAGATGCTCACGACCATCCACAGGCCAAGCACAGTGTACAAATAAACCCACATGAAAGTATATAGTAAATCTAAAAATGTGGGGGCTGGAGAGATGGCTCAGAGGTTAAGAGCTCTGTCTGCTCTTCCAGAGGTCCTGAGTTCAGTTCCCACCAACCACATGGTGGCTCATAGCCATCTATAATGAGATCTGATGCCCTCTTCTGGCATGCAGGTGTACATGCAGATAGAGCACTCCTATATTTAAAAAAATACATATATAAATAATTTTTAAAAATCCAAAAAACGTTATAAAACATGATAAGTGATACCACCAAAAATAGAGACATACTCAGTTGCAGCTCTACGAATCAGTCATCATTTAAATTGTACATGAGCACAGTATTTAAGAACTCAGCATAGCTGGGATGGAAGAAATGGCTCAGTAGTTACGGGCATTTGGTGCTTTTGTAGCACACCTGTATTCAGTTCTCGATGCCCACATGTAGCAGCTCCCACCTGCCCTCATGCCAGCTCCAGGATCTGACATCCTCTTCTGGCCTCTGAGAGCACGCACATGTGTTGCATACATTAATCCACATGCACACATATGCATGTAAATAAACATAATAAAAATAATTTTTAAAACAGTTACAAATCATAGATATACTTGAGCAATCAGAAGAAAATAAATAATGATTTGAAACGGACATGATTTGTTTCCTTTAAACACAGCTCTTTCATGGATCTTAAATCATGACAATTCTCCTTTAGATACAGCTTCATGTAGCTCAATCTTCCTTCTACTGAGAACTTAAAGTTATTTCAGAAAGCAGCGATTTAAGTTACTCCTCCACAAAGCGGGCTTCCTTAAAGCTGCATGTTATCACAAAGTCAAGACATGTTGCCTGAGGAAAGCAGCGATTTAAGTTGCTCCTCCACAAAGCGGGCTTCCTTAAAGCTGCATGTTATCACAAAGTCAAGACATGTTGCCGGGCTAACAGCAGTTACTTTTGTTCATGGGAAGGTCGGCAAAACCCCTTTTTGGATGTAGGTGCTCCTGTCAAGACCAGAAGCCAAGTGGGGGCTGTCTGCATCCTGCCCTGCCCCCCCCCACCAGGCACCAGGCATGGCTTCTGCATCTGAGCCACACCCACTCTAGTTCCTGTGGCCTCTGTCATCTGCAACGGGGCGGGCTGGCAGCCACTCTCCTGTTCTTTTCACCACTGGGCACCAACAAACTTAAGCCTCAACACGTCTTGAAGGCCTAAGGCAGGCTGCAGTTTCTCACTTCCCCTATTCTGAGGGCAGATGATGTGATGTTGCAAGCCTGAAAATTTCCAGCCCCAAACTTATTTTTGTAGTTCTTTGACAATTTTCTCTATTATCATTAACGTTTATTTTAAGACTGTATTACAATTCTCTTTCCTCCCTCCAAAGTTTCCATTCTACGATTTCTTATTCTACTAAACTCATAGCCTTTTTCATTATTGTTAATATATGTATAATGTATATTTCTAAATTCATAAATGCAACCTGTTCGGTCTGTATAATGTTGCTTATAAGTATAGTCTCAGAAGTGACCATTTGGTATCGGATAACCGGTTAGTGTGCTCTGCCCTGGAGAAGACTATCTCCTCTGCTTTGGTTACCTGTGGTTCTTTGTGTAGTTGTATAGGGCTGAGGCTTCCTGGGATCACTGGACCCTACATCCACATGGAAATGTTTATTATTGTTGGCCCTTTTTCAAGTAATGTTTGGGCAATCATGTTGGTTAGATAGTTTCACAGAAAACTCCGTGGTTCTCCAGCTCTTAAAAATCTTTCTGTCCTCTCTTCCAAAATAACCCCTGAACCTTAGCTGCAGGAGTTGTATTGTAGAGGTGTCCATTGGGGTTGGGCTCCAAAACTCTACATTTTGATTGGTTGTGGTTTTGTGTAATGTTCTCTGTCTATTGCGAAAAGACATTTCATTCGTGCGTGGTAAAGACTACTCTTCCCCTTGGGCATAAAGACAAATATTTGGAATGTAGTTAAGGATTATATTGGCTTAGTAAAGTGGCAGTTGTATGTTGTCCTCCAGTATCCATGACCTCACTAGACCTAGGCAGCTGACTAAATTCCCAGTGCTAGGCACGTTCCCCCTTTTCTTGAACAGGTCTTAAGTCCAATTATGAGAGCTGTTGGTTACAGAGACTGCATGTCGCTACTGCTAAAGCCTACTTGGTTGAACGGGAAAGCATACTGGCAGACACAGGTTTAATAGACCCGGAAGAGAACCATCCATTTTCTGTTGTCCTGGAGACATTCAGGAGACTTTTGTCCCAAAAGTATCAGAACCGCACGGCTGGTACTCAGAGCTTTCTGAAGTTAATATTTGGGAGAGTAAGTAAAAACTAGTATCATTTTATGTTCTGGGTTTTAATCAGCTCTCACTTCAAATTTTGAGTAAGGCAGCTTTACAGGGCATGCAGAGGGACTGTAGCTCACTACTGAACGCTAGTGAGGCTGGTGGTGAGTGTTCGCCTTTGTTTCACAGGTCACAGGGTGCTGCCTCTGGGAGCTCACGCTAAACAACACATCAGGACTGTTTCTCCAGATGCGGGACCACCTCAGGAGTCACTCACTCACCTCAGCTGTGGGGTGCCCATCATTTCAGGGCAGCTGGCTTTGGGGTACTTTTCCACTGAAAGTGACGTTTCAATAGATTTTCTGCACTTCATTTTTTTTTTCCTAAGTGTAAACTTCCGGGCGTGTGGGGAGCGGTTGGAAACAACTAAAAACCTAAATGTCAATTGTCAAAATGGAGGCTGGTGGTTTGATAGATGATGCCTGTGGCAGTCAGTAATCATGGTTGCAATAATCATTTAAAGGATGCATTATCTGTAGTTGTTTCATGGAGGAGCTAGCTATAAAAACTTATTTGACAACCACAGCCTCCACTGTAGTCATCCACAATCACACTAGAGAGTTCTATCAAAAAGACCAGTGACTGTGGTCCCCAGCCTCATCTCCCAGGGTGAAATGTCAGAATGCATCCCAGGAATGGTGTGCTGTTTGTTTGTTTGTTTGTTTGTTTGTTTTGCCATACCTCAAGTCATGGGCGTACACAGAAGGTGGAGGCACTTCATTCACTTAGAATTCAAAGTCCCCGTTTATTCCCAACCTTCCTGTCACTAGTAACTCCTAGCTGGACAAATTAGAATTCAGTTCCTTGAATACTTGGTCCTGCCTGGGGTTTGTTTACAACGCCCTATGTTGTAGGTATGGGGAGGAAAGCTGAGCGGTGTTTGATTTCCTCTTGAGAATCCACAGTCTAATGGAGAAAATTCTGGGATGCCGCAAGGAAGAGACTAGGAAGAGAATCGAAAGCTCAAGAGCAGCAGAGGACAACAGCAAGGAGCACCCCAGGGTGGGCAGGTTGAGACAAACAGCGCCTTCTACTGTTGCAGAAAATAAAAGGTGAAAGATGTTTATTCCTTGCCCCATAATTATTACGGTGGTATTAGCTAACCTTCTGTCATAACCAATAAAGACACAGACACCTCTTTTAGATTAGCCTCGTGTTGGCTGGGACTGTAAACCCCCTAAGTCACCTCTAACTCCCATCCTAGGCCTCCTTCCATCGTAATTCCATAAACACTTCCTAATGCTCTCATGTGGGTTGCTTCTTCCATTCATGTGGAAGCCGGCCATGTGCTTCTCTCTCAGACTAACCCATTCCCCCCTGCTTCTTCCTCTTCCTCTCTCTTCCTCCTCCAATGATCCTCCTCCCTTCCAAAGCCCAAGAACTTTGGCCACACTGACCCCACTCTGCCCAGCCCAGGTTTAGGCCAATCAGGAATAATTTCTTAGGCAAGGTTCCAAACATCATATTGAGGTTTGTGAGTGAGTGTCTGCTCATCTGCAACCAGATCTTGAGGGCCAATAAATAGCATCAGAATACATAGCACCAGACATTCTGCCATCTCACTGTGTTTATATTATGTCTATATAAATCCTTGGTCACTCCTTTAAGTGCCTTGTAAAGTATCCATTTAAAATGGAAAAATGTGGGACATTGGTTTAATGGTCATATAATGCATTATTGTGTCCTAATTTTAACAAAGGAACTATGCTGGTCATTGGGCAGGTGTGATATCTCAGTCTTCGCCTGTGGGTAGGTTAGTGGTGATGCATATTACAAATAACAGATTAATAAGAGGAAAGCATACAAATGCATTAATCTAAGTTGCATAGGATGTGGGTGTCTTAAAGAAATTAAGACACCCCCAAATGAAAACCCCAGCGACATGTTTATATTTTAGTGGTTTGTTTTGGCGAAGGACATACGGTCATTTAGAAGCGTTGTTGGACAGACAGTGTGATTGATAAGTGCCTGGGCCACTGCTTAGCACAAGCTGTTTTCAGACTCTTCTCAGCACCCGTAAAACGTCAGAAATGAGGACATAATTTCGTCTTGGAATCAGAAAGAGCAGAAGCTCCAAAGGTAGCTGAATGTGCCCTTCTGGCCTCTGTTCTTTTCCAAATGCTTAAGTCTCGTGTTTGAGGTGCCATGTCCTGAGCCCAACCATTACTGGAATCAAGCTTGATAAGATGAAATCTCAAATTCCATTTCTCAGATTCAATATTGAAAAGCAGAGATATAAATTTTAAGTATACACCAACACATTTCCTGAGTTTAATGGGCTGCAATCACATTAACTAAATGATAGTATAGGTGCAAAACACGTTCTTTTCCAAGCACAAGTATGAAAAGAAAGTTTGGGAAGGCCATGCAGTAGCCATTTCCATCCCTCTGGGAAGTTCTAATCAGGAAGATGCCCAGCACAAGCATGCACTGTTCCAGAGATCCGCCCACAGGCTCCACTGTAGCCCAGGGCTCCCTTCTGTGTTAAATTTAATATATAAAATCTTACTTCTGGAAATCCTGGGAGATAGTGCTAAATTCACTCTCAAGCAATTTACTGGCCCCACCTCAGACCAAAACTGGTAGAAAATCAAATATTTCTCCTTACTTCCTATGACATAAAGTGAGAAAAAAAAAAAAGGAGAAATCCCCTTTCATTCCACAGGCAACCCAACCTGTGATACACCAAAACCAGATTTAAAAGTATGTTAATAGTTTATACCCATCTGTAATGATGTTTTGTAATTTGGAGAGCTTGCCAACTCATTGCTGAATCTAATGCTAATCACCATCTATTTAACCTAGCTTTTTAATTATTCAAGATGTTAAAACAAATTTTATTTAAGCAAAAGAATGTACAGTTAGCATCTTCTCATAATTATGTCTAAGATAAAATACTCTAATCTCTGTAAGAGCTGTGCCAGAAGACGGGGACGCCTTATTCAAAACAGACCACATCCAGAGCACACCATGAAGGTGTCAGAAGGACAATATACCGTCTTAGTTTCACACATTCATCTCTGAAGAGTCCTATACAAATTATGGTGGTCACCACACCCAGAGCAGTGACATGTTCCCATGGTAACTGATCTATTTTACAAAGAAACAGGAATGTTAAGGTACAAGAAAACAAAATAAAAACCGGAAGTGATTACTCTGAAAATATGATGACAGCACACAAAATCCTTCAGGACACAGGAAGAGGGAGTTTTGCCACATGGAAGGTCATATATATATCTTTTGTTTCCTAAGAATAGTGTTTAAAGTCTGAAACAAAACTAAGAATAAGGTATACAATAAAATAATTGAGAAGGAACAAGAAAAGGAGAATGGAGGAAAGCAAAAAGGAGAGTAAGATGTCAAAGGGCGTAAAGCCCACGCCCCGTCAGACCCACCATCCAGAACACACGGACAGAAATACCTGTGACTGCTTCACTGCAGGCTCTCAGCTGTGATGGCCACCTGGGAATACCCAGCAGGGGAATGGCCCTGATTACAACTGTCCACTGCAGGTGGACAGAGGCCCTCTCTGATTTTAGTTGTCACTGTGATTTGAAACAAATAAAAGTTTATCCTGAAGGTGAATTGCTACAGAAGTTTGAGTTTAATTCATTTAGCCAGTTTTGAACAGGAAAACATAAGTGCCATTCCCCAGTGACATTTTCCCACTCATCAATGTCAAAAGTCTGGTAAATGAAAGTCAAGGTTGAAGACCAGCTCACGTACTCATGGACAGCCGATAGCATGGTTCTAGCTGTTTGTTGTACAGAGTCTCTGACGTGAGCCTTAACCATTGCACGTTCTAGTTTGAGTTGACCTATTCTCAAGTTCACAATAGCAATTAAAATGTACTTGATCGTTTTCACCGTTCACTGTACTTGATTGTTGCCAAACGATCAGCAAGAAATGATGTCCGATTTATGCTATTTGAGTTGCAGAGTGGAATAGATTCATAAGCCAGGCTGTATCTACCGAGAAGTGTGCCTATGAACACATGCATGCTTGGTAAAACACCCGTAGTGACACATCTGGAAGCCCCACGCTGCTCAAACAGTGAAGAAATTGTGCTTCAGGCCCTCACCTGTGCACACAGGGTTTGGTTCAGCAGTTCTGGAGTGAGGCCTAGGGTTCTGCACCTCCGAAGCCCCGCATTGCGGGCACCAGGGGTGGGATCGCCCCTCTTTACGTAGTAAGGCTTTGGACAGTGACTCTCTCTTGTTGAATGTTTTCTGTTTCTTCTAACTTGTGAGCATGTCTCCCCTCCTCACTTTCCTGCTTTTAAGCTCTAATGAAGGCTTCCAGCCCTTTATGCCACTTATGCTAAAAAAAAACTGCACAAACGAAGTCCCTTACACATTTGTAGAACCTGCTCCCTCACAAAAACGGCTCCTGGCTTGCCCTCCTGTCTGCTTTTGGTAGCTATGCAGAGTTTTAGTTGTCTGGAGTTTAGCTCTTATGCCAACATTTACTGCATTTATAAAACACATTGATACAAAAACATAAAAGTGTAGTCATAGATTCAAAACACGGACCTGGGCAGCAATGATGTTTTTGGCAACACAGAGAAACAGGAAATTGTAATGAGTTTCTTTTAGTTCCCAACAACACACACATACACACACATAAAATGCATTTCATACTCTTAATAGAACTGAACCAACATTCTCCTTATGGGCCAGCTACGCTGACACTGTTAAAATGTTAGTAGCCATGAATTGCCAAACAGGACACGTGAACAGCATAATGGTACAAGCAGGACCCAGCAGGAAGCCAGTGAGTTTTCAGGGGATCTTCTATGGCCTCAAATACACTAAACACACACACAGGTAGACTTGGCAGTGGTTTCTCCTGCTTCTAAGTTCTAGTTTTACATTCACTCTTGGGCAAATGAGGAACATCCTCATCAATGTCTGCAGCTCCGCAGTCATTCCTTGCAGCCCTGACGCATCAAAGCACACTGATCCCCACCAGAGTTCACCCCTGAGAATAAAGTCAGGGGCTCTTCCTAGGTACAGGGCTCCTCAGGTGCTCGCAAGAATCAGATAAACAGGAATGGAAATGTCTAGGTTATTTTCCTCTTTGTCCACGAGCTTTTAGGGCAAAATAAATCTATTCTATTCACCTTGTTAATGTCATACTATTTTTTTTTCATGAACTATAGTTTAGTTAATAAACAGATAATTTTGTAGAGCAAAGACAAAAGAATACTGTGTATTTTTCCCCCATACTAAACTAGCATTGATTTTGCTTATCTAGAACTCAGGCTAACACAAAGGTGTGACAGCAGTAGAAAGTGCAAGTAGTTTTCAATAGCCACGTGTTCAGTCACTTCAGTGAAGACACACTTATATGAAGATCAACAAGGTCAAACTTCACCTTGTAAAAGCAAGGAGAAAAGAACAGTGGCCACTGGGAACTGAGGGAGTAGAGCAGAGATGTCAGCCAGAAGCTTCGAAACCTCAGCGGCGTGGAAAATTTTTTAGAGTTTATCTGTATAGTCATAGTGACTACGTTCATCATAATACACATATTATATGTGTTAAAATTGTCAAGGGGTTCTTGGTTGTCCCCGATTCACACGCAAATTAAACATGCGAGGTGATATATTAGTCTGTTTGGTTTAGTCACTGCACAGTGCGTAAACAAACACATAAAAGCATCACATGGTCAAGTGTACTTCCAGACAAGCTATAGGTAATCATGGAGATGGATCAGATGCATTGAAGCCAGCAGATACTGCAACAAGTTATTATAAATTAGAAGTGGAATGTGTGTTTCAACGTACTATAACATATATAGTGCCAATGAATAGATCACAGTAGTTCAGGGTAAGACTGACCTTCTCATTCAAGCAGTAATTAATAGGGTGGTTGGCAAGCTTAGAATAATTGCAAGATATCAAAGAAAATTAAAACATATTCTCAGCATATCAGATCATAAAGCCACTAGAGAGCCGAAACGAGCAGCTTCAGGCCACGTGCTCCGTCTTCAGGTCACAGTCCCTGAACCGAGACAGGCTTCACAGTCCTGTCTTGATGTTGAACGGTAAATCAGTCTCTTTTATTT